ACGAGTGAGGAGCTAATAAACTAGTTAGGTGTGTGTACCTATATAATATAAATATAGTGTAAATATACACACACACACCTAGTGCAGTGGCTCTGGGCACAACATTTACCAAAAACCAATGTCCTGTTAAACGCGTGGTCACCGCTTAATACACGGTACGTGGTACACGGTATACGGAGTGGCATGGAATAAGCGTTGTACGAGTGCATAATAATTATATCGTTTTGACCGTCGCGGTGTGTACACATAAACACCGACAACAACCGCCACAATCGGCATAAATTGTTTCGTTATAACTTATAATGAATAATACCTACCTCGCCACACCGCAACGCCACAGCCCGGTCAATAGGTACGCGATAAAGGCTTTTGAATAATAATAATATATTATAGTGTGCTGTTGTAGCTGTATGAAATACGTGGTATACAATATTCATACTATATTGAAAAACACATTTTATTAAATCGTTGGTGTTATTTAGTTTTTCCCAAAATTTTATATAAAATATTAAATGCGCTTTATTAAATGGAACTCTCAAGCATAAATCTTAGAATTTTTTTGTCTGAACATTTTTAGTTTAAACTTTTATAATTTCTATATATTTAGAATCTTTCCCGTGTGTTCAAATTTAATTTAGTTTTTTGGATAGAATTATGTAACTGTGTCTATAACTCATCACTTCACAATATGATAACGTGCTCCACATGTTTTATGAAAAAATTGAACAACTGCTACGTCTCCTCGCACAACCACTGACTGCTGTCTTATTTTTGTTCTATTAGTATTTATATTAGTATTGTATTTTTATATTTTATATTTTTATATTAGTATAGTAGCAGTATTTTTGTTTAGTTATTGTAGTCATATTTGGGCTAAAATTATTGTTGTTGATAGTTTGAAAATAATTCAGTTGGACCAGATTATGTTTTTATGTGTCACATTTTTTTTTTTACAAATGTTGTAGTTGTCAATAAGATGAATATACTTTGCAAAAAAATGTGTTGAGAAACATATAAATTGTATAAAACCATTTGCAAGAAAAAAAATGTACATAACCTTATAAAATTCAATAAATGACGCAAACAGAAAATAAATTAACACCAACTGGATGAATTATAGTGATTTGGCTGACATCCAATCTATGTGTAAAAGACTACAACTATTGGCATCTACAGGGAAAATAATGGTAATATTTTATAAAAAATTAAACATATTTAAGAAAACAAAGTCTAAGTCACAAAACAAATATTTATATATTATTATATAGCAGCGGTTACATAAAGTAATCAAATGTATTGATGTGTACCTAATAGGCATACAAATAGTAGACAAATTATCTAACAATGCACTGTTTTTACGTAAAAACTAAATAAATTTAAACTCTAAATATTTAGGGGATTTTCTGCAGGTTAATAACTATATTAATAGTAAATATTATGTAAAAAATATTTATTTATATTAAGCTTTTACCAATAATACAAATATACTGAAAATGTATTCATGATTTTATTTATAGCAATCTTTTTAAAATGTTAAGGATGTCCTATAAACACAATGATAATCATATCACTAATTTGAATTTTTTTTAATATTTGGTTAAAATTAAAAAAAATCCATTCTTTGTGAAACTGAGTGAATCCAATCTAGTGATCAACAATCGGATGTGAGATACGACCTGATACTTCAATTTAAATATTCACCAATAAATAAATTCAATATGTTATTGACTTGAAATAAAATAGAGTCGATAATACAAAACCTATTTAATATTCTGGGTAGGTTTTAAGCTAAAAGTAATAAAAAACTTTAAAAATGACAGGCAACAGCTATTGTCGATATTAAACAAAATCTATCTTTCTATTATATTCTCAGAATATAAACGAACACATTTCAATCATAGGCGTGACTAAGGATTATCGATGGGTACTTTTGATACCCCAAAAAATAACTATTTAAAAAAAAAAAAAATACTAACTACATAAAATATTTTTTGTAGATTATTAATTATTTCAACCACAGATTTTTGACTTAAGTAGCCCCCATGTACTGGAATATCGGTAAGACAAGTGTTATAGAAATTTAACACTCATCACACCTACCAGTTCACATCCAAAATATTGTGTACATTCAGAAAACATTTACAAAATAAACTAGGTAGTTTTACATTTTATATTTCAACGTTATTTATACCACACCAACCAGCTAATAAGAAAACTGTTGTTTGATTATGTCTGAAAGTGATGAGACGCTCCTCACATGAGACCGCTTTATCACTTAATTACAATAACCGGCCGACTAGCAGTGTGCGTGTATGCTGAGAATTCCGTCTCATGTTTTCGGTCTCTTTTCAATTTTGGTTCTTCCGTTTGTTTGTTTTGTCTACCGTTTTACCGCCATTTTGTGTCTACCATTACCATCACCATCATCATAACTGACGTTCATTTTCACCGTTGACTGTTGGCCAGACAATCACTATCCCTGGCACCCGTGGTCCAAGTCACCTTCGTCGTCTGTCAACGTCCGTGCAACACCGTCATAAAAATCACGGTTTGGTTCCCTTTTTTTTATTCTTATTTTGAATTGTGTATTTTTGTTTTCAATTATTCTCCCTCTGGCCAACACTCATTGTGCCGTAATTATTTATTTATGGTTCATTTTATGTTGAATAACACTACAAATGAAAATGAAAATTCGTGTTCATTTTTAACCACATTTTACCACAATAGTCCTACTATATAACCGAATACCGAACACTGCACTATTTGGTATGGTACCTAACTTTTAGTTTATCATTTGTCTAAGTATGTATCGCATATATCAATATTAATATGGCTCTGGTTATTGAGTTGTATAAAAAAATTAAAGGTTGATGCCAACTTTTAATTTTTACTCCACATAATTAAAGATACCCTTATGCCATGATATGTAAACTTTATTTATACTTATATTTCCCAACTAAGTTCCAAAAAATTATGATCTTTAAAAACATAGCTTGTAGCCTGTAGGCAATTCATAAGTTATTGAACGGTTATTGAACGGTTTTTGATTTCTTTTTTTTTTTAATAAAAACGTGAATAATGTAAAATTAATTTTTATCTGCCTTACTTGAAGGTAATTTTTAAAATAAGGGTTTAATACGCATTTTACAAATTTAAACAAATGACTTGCAAAATTAACAAAGTGAAAAATTAAAATTTCTACCAGGTAGTTGCCGGCTGAGTGAGAGTGATATTATCTCACTTGGGGTAATTTGTAAAATGAGAGTTTGAAGTCAAACCGCATAAATTCATAAAAATGTCATACTAAAGAGTTAAGATATTGCATACCAAAAACTACCAATTTTATTTTCAATATGGGGCTGGGCAGCATGATATTTGACGCACGTAATTTTTCGTAGGTTATGTAGGTATAATTTTTTTCCTGAAATTTAATCGTAAACTACATTTTATAAACAACACGATTATATTTTCCATATATTTATTAATTTATTGTTATGATATTTTCTCAGTAGTTCACTTCAATCGTCAGAATATTATATTTTTTATTACACTTTTACAAATTGAGAAAATAACAACAAACGTGCTCATACGAGCACTGAGTATTTTATCCGATACAGCCTGTAGGCTAAAATTTTACTATACCTACGAATATATTTTTCTGTTTGAGTATTCGATTTCAAGCAAATAACCACTATAGGTACATGCTTATATCCCCGACTCCATTGACCTAACCATGCCACTTTAGCATAGTAAAAATAAAACACTCACCGCAAAGCAATGAACAAGGTCAGAATCAAAGGGCAACGGATGTAATGTAATATAAACAATAATACAATAAAACGCAGCATGCAAGAAATATCAAAATAAATAAATTCCTATCATTTGAAAACTAATAGTACCTATTTTATATGATGAAAATTTTTTATTTATTACCAAGTTATGGGTTAATTTATAATACAGTACAATTTCAGTACAACGAAATTACATATTTAATGAAATGTCCTGTTTAACGAAATATTTTTGAGAACCAAATTTATGTAATTGTGTTTTACTTCACTAAATAATACGAATTTTTTTCGTTGCCCAAAATGCTTGGTATTATGGTAGTTTCACTGAATTAAAAATATATTTATTCGAATCAAAACGATGTAACTATCTAAAGATTATATTATTATTATAATGACAAAAACGATATAATTGAGTAACTTGTAAAAATACCACTGTTTATATTTTTGTTAACTATACTGTAAATTTCAAAGACTTATAATAATGATGAATAAGTAATGACCAATCCTATAGTCTTTCCGTTTCCACACTAATGTATGATGCTTAATCCCGAACACACTTTGCAATATTATAAAGTTTTATGATATTATGTTCTAGGTGTTATACTATACTTAGTGTTCAAAGTAAACCTGCATAGTTTGCTTTCATCTGGAAACAACTTACTCTAGTAAGACTACTGCGTATAGTCTTTGAAAAAAGCAATGCTAATAAAATATTTAAATTGTTGTTGAATAAACTAGATCGATAAATATTATGATTAATGGTGCATTATCTGCCTCTTTGTCTATTAATTACGATTGACTGCGTTACCTTCTCAACACTTTAGTAGTTTAGTACAGGGCTTTTGACATTCGGTTTGATAAATCTATAAGTATCTAACTTAATCGGTATTTTAATGGTTTGCTGAATCCTCAGGGTTCGGGTATACCAATCAACGTCATTTAAAGTGTGTTTGGTTTTGTAAATAATTATTATAAAAAAGGTGTGAGAACAAATATATTTATATATATATATTACACAATATAGATTGATAGGTTACATAATATGGATGTGTCTGTGCACAATATAAACTAGTGTATAAGCTATCAGGTGTAAATAAAATTATCTAAAGAGCAACCTGACCCACAACCTTGGTAAATTGCAAGTGGTAAACACGTGATAAAGTTTAATAAATGTATTATTTGTTGTTTTAGTGTTCGTGCGAGAGTGTGAATATGGCGACCATGCGAAACCGTACCGTGTTAAAAATTCAACAAAATATGAATATTTTAAAGAAGCCAGTGGAAGAAAAGAACGTGGTTATCTTAGGTAATGGTTATGGTATTGGGAAACTCAATATATTTTCTCTAATACAAAATAAGAAAAATAATATTTTGGACGACGTTACAAAATTAATTTCAAAAAATGGACAGCAAAATTCGGCAGCTATTATAAAGCCAACAGGTACTGTAAAAGTAAAATACAGTGATACTTCCATGTAATGAACTTACATTTAACGAATTATTTTTGAGAACCATGTCCTTCATTGTTAATCATGAGTAAATTATATTTAACGAATTCCACTATATTAAGATTTTTTTTGTTCCTCATAAGAATTCGTCATAAGGAAGTTTCACTGTTTAATATATTATTAATATTATTATACAATAATATGATAAGCTTAGCAACAAGTGGGTAATTTGAGATAATCACGAGTTTGAGACAAATGGTGTTCAAATGATATCTGAAATTTAAATTAAACATGTTTATTATTATGCAGTTTATAGGTAATATTGTCGTTTGGTTAAAATATTAAAAGGACTGAATAATTCTCTAACATAAATATGATATTTTTTTTTAATAAATACTATCAAAATTAATTAATTTACAGAATTAAAATTAATAAATATAAGATATTTAATTATTATAGTAAACATAAATAATACCTATAACATTTAATATAATACATAATATATAGGTATACCTAATGAATTTTATTTATTATAATATCAAAAATTTAATTTTTTGTATAATTTACTATGTAGTAAATACAAAAACGTTAAACAGTACATCATAGATATACTATTGTAATCATTCAACCTAGTGTGATCCATGATTTTATAAAAATATCATATTATTATGAAAATTCGATTGGTTAGTGTTGGTACCCTGATATTACAAATTTAATTTTGTTATTAACATAAAAAATTATTATGAAATTATCTGTGCTTATACAAACTATCCAATTATGATTATGATAGTTTTTGATTATTATGTAATTTTTAATTTAGTTATTGATTGACTGTAAAATAAAAATAAATCCATTGTAACGATTATGACGTTGTGGCTTATCTAATCTTATAATAATAAAAATATATACATTTTTATAACTATCCAAAGCATTATTCAATTCCTAAATGGGTCTTAAATATTTTATGACAAAACATGATAGTAAAATATCTGATTATAATATATAAAGGTATATTTAACTAATTTAGTTTTTAAAATAATATATTGAAATTTGTCTATCTACCTAATATCTGTTGGCTATCAATAATATTTTATAAAAAAGTAAAACAATGTTTTCCAAAGTGGATAAACAATGCAACCGTAAATTGGATTTTTTGTATGATTTATTTGAACCTTATTATGTATAAATAATAAATAATAAATAATATATGAATATGAATATCCGTTTCTAGAAGCAATTCAATACATTATCGATGCGGTTATTAGACATAACATGTTCAACAAAAACAAAGTATTATTTAATAATAATAACATTGCTGACATAAATTTCATGAAACAAAATAAACTACTTCATAGTGGAACTGTCTGATCAAATACATTTGAGAAAATAAAACCTTATCGACAAAAATACAAATACAAACAGAAATAATAAAGTATAAAACAAAGACCATTTCAAACGCTTAAATCAATTGGATTTTAACAATGGTTGTGTTTCATATTACAATCAAGTACAGACACTAATAAATTGAATAATTAATATTAATGGGCAGAGGATTTTTTTTTGATAATAAACAACATTTTAATTAATGTGTTTGCGTAAATTGAGAGCTGGAAAAGCCAACAAATGCAGACAATTTGTACTTAAATAGTCGAGTCATTAAATCAATTTCTTATTTCAAGAAAGGTGAATTGGTCCCAAGCCAGTGATAACACTTTTAAACAGAAGGGCTGTGTTTAGTGTTTTAGTCGAGACCTAATCAACGTCTTAACTTTTTTTGATGCGTACACCTATTTACTGACGATACTGTAAGAGAGAGAAAGTTTTTTATATAGCTGACAACAATATCAATTTAAATATTGTACAATTTTCAATTTTCAAAATTTAAATTTAAAGTTATGTTTATTATAACCTAAGTACTGGTTCTAAAGTCTGAAAAAAGTAATAGTAATTAATATTACACATTTTCATTTATATTTTTTTTCTGTTTGTTAATATTTTTGACAACGAATTAAAATTTTAAAAATGTATGCAAAGTAGTGCATTATTTGGCAGTTGAAACGGCCAAGGAAATGGTTAACATAAAAAACAGTAATGCAAGCGAAGTCGGTTTACGATTAAAAACTTCTACTTATTATTTCGTCATCAAGAAAAATAAATTGAATAAATAAGTTAACTTGATAGGTACTAACTTTAATTTCACATATCATATCATAAAAATGTTCTCGTTATTTTTCTATATTCCATTTATATAATATTTCTTACGTTCATTCTATACAAATATACAATATGAACGACGTGATCATAATATTATGCTCACAGCCGAGTCACTGAAGAGAAGACAATCGTCCGATATGGCGTTTTCTATACGTATAATATATTAATGCAATAATATAATACAATTAAAAGTTATGATATAATGTAAACTAATGAAAGGTTCTAAATCAGTTTAATGGAAGTTTTCATAAAAGTGATTTTAAGATTTGAGATGGATAAAATATTTTAATCATCCATCTGAAATGTTTTCGCTTACTCCACGACATGTAATTATTATTGTCTCGTTGAAATTATGTAAATTTTGTTCTACCACTGTGCTACAACAACCTCTCATCTTCCCCGTCGATTCTTGCTCAATGGTAAATATTAATACATCGTATTTAATAGATATTGGCCAGTAATTTTTTTTGACGACCAATTCAAAGTGTTATATTTCTCCAAATAAATGAACGAAGTGTTGAATTTTGGAGTGTAAATATCTCTTACATTGAAAGTGTGTAATATTCATAAATCTAAAAATTGAGATTATCACTGAAAAATTCTGTGAGTTGAAAATGTACAATTTACGGATTGTTTATTCGTATCGAAAATACAAACGTTTATCTAGGTATAAAAAAAAAAACATTTCGTCAATTTTTTAAGTATAATATTTGCATGGAAATAAATTAATTGCTTCTCTGCTTACTTACGCCTTCAACTCTTCTAAAAGTTACAAATGTACTTAACGCTATTAAGTACCTATATATATATTATATTATATTATATAATAAATGTTTCTTTTATGATTGATTTCGTACATTTTTCTACTTTTTTGTAGTTATAACTGGTAATTATTTTTCAATCCTTTCATTCAACTAGTCAATTAGTATTTTGAAGGATTTCAAATAGTTGTGGTGTATTTTTATACTAACTGATAAATATATTTAAATACTTTGAACAAGTATGGTGGTTCACAATACATCGTAAGAGAATATGATAAAGTTAGCTACTAATTATTATGTTCTTAAATATATTTTTATGGGTACAATTTTAAAAATATTAAGTCATAAATATATTAATATTATTACTGTAGAGTGTAGGTACGCGATAAATACACTTAAAACTGTCACTGTGTATTGATAAAGATAAATGTGTCTAGGGAACTATATAATAAATAATAATAACATGTTATGTCATTGCGTGTTTTAAGTTTACGGTGAACTCTATACTTACTTAAATAACAGAAATAATGTCAAAAACCAATTTACATGACGTTGCGAGTATTGAGTTTTAAAATATTTGTGAGGAATTTTACGTAGCGATTGGATAATCCATAATACCTTCTGTTGTACTTTTTACCTACTTAAAATTGTTACTGTCCGACGTCTATAAGTAGATTTTTATTTAAATATAAAGTGGGATGATTTTATTAACAAAAATTAGAAAAAAATAATTGATACCCTCCTCACTTTATACGTCTTGAAATAATTAATTTTATCAGAATTTAATAAAAGTAGGTAGTTTGAGATATTTTTAAATTATTTTCTGAAGATCATGATTTACCATTACACAATTTAAAAAAAAAGTCTCCAACGTACAGGTGGTGATAATACTTAACCAAAGAGAGGAGTTATACAAGCTATTCGATTCATTAAAGTTATAATTTAGGTTGTTTTAATATGATTTAAGAACTCCGAACGTCTAGACTCATTTTCACATTCATACAGTTTAAATCCTCTAAAAAAATTGAATTTTACATGTTGTTCAATTTGATAATTATTCTATAATATACGAAAACATCGAAAAATGGTTCTGGGGGTTTCTGCGTTATGCAATTATTATTTATGACTTTTTAGAAAGTAGAAAAATAAAGTGTGAACACTTTCAACTCTTAGATTGTTATTATTTTGTTGTGGTGATTAGGTTATAAAATATACTATTTAAAACGTATAACCGCTATATTATTATTTCCATTATCTAAATCTAATGTATGTGAAGTTACAATATTTAAGAGTTTAAAATACCGATATTATCTGCTCATTTTATTTAGGTAAGTACTTTATTCTACTATACTATAATATGGACTATAATTATATGTTTGTAGTATAATCGTGTAATTATAGTCTGGTTAACATAATATTATTAAATGAAAAATCAATTTTAATCACTGTAAATAAAACAAAAATAATTTAAAGTACAGTGTTTTGTTATAACTATTCGTATAACCTTTTTTTCATTTTTATCTACTTGAAATAATTTATACTATCAATTTAGTGTTACAGTGTTCTGAAAGTTAAAAATTCATTTTCTGTTTATACATCATTATATCAATAATAAACCAATAACTGACAATTAACATATCGACAGAGCTCTGTGGTGGATATTTATTCATTTTTTTTTTTGTAGCAAAAATATTTTTAAATGTAATATAAATTTCACAAAAAAATCGAGTTTTAATCATAATTTTTTATTTTTGAAACTCGTACTTTTCAAACTACGTACATTTTAACGATTTTATTTATGATTACTAAAAATGACATAATATACGTCGCAGTTTTTGAAAATGTTCTGAAAAACTACTGAGAGTTCCCAATTTCATCCGTTTAAAGTACTACATCTGTGTCCAGTTTACAATTGATTAAGGGTCATAACGAAACTTTTGTAGTGAGTATTTTATTGCTCCAAAAGTATTCCAAGAAAAAACACATGGCATTCAACTTATGTACAGTTTCTTCGGTAGCACTAGGAATTTACTTGAAACTTATTTTCCATTCTTAC